AAATTAATTCGTTGCCCGAGTATTAAATATTTAGACATCGGAAATTCGAGCTTAGAGCGTCGATACCGAGGTCGGAAGTCGAGTTAAAGCATTATATTAGCAAGATCCTAGGCATGATACTAACAAGATTAATAACAAACCCTAGCATGTCACTAAGCAATAAAAATCATATATTTAACCATAACATGATACTAACAATCATAAATATTAGGAAGAAAATAAAAGACATCATAACAATCATACTTGATATTAAAATTACCCTAGACATGATACTAGGAATTTATTTTAACAATCTAAACATGATTTCTACATCATAATATCAATAAAAACCATCAAAATACTTACTTTGATGCCTCGTACCTCTTTCTAATAACAAAATACACACGTTAGTAACTTCAAGGAAAATATGAAAACAAATAAATTAAATGAAATAATTGAAAGAGAGATTTGGGACCAAACCCTCAGAAATTAAACCTTTTACGTCTAGGGCGAAGTCAACTTCGAATACGGCTAGGTGTATCTAAGTCTTGAGAATGCGGAATTTTGTATTTGTGAAAAAGCTAGTTTAGAAAAGACAGAGAGAGAAATAATAGTCAAGAAAAACTTGTTGAGAATTGGTGGGAAAGAGAGAATTAGAGAATTGATGATTGCTGGTGAATGAAAGCGGAGGTTTTACGACGTTATTTATAAAGAAAATCAGCCAAAGGATAAAATATCAAAACAGAGTTCTAACGCAAATAAAATTCAATTAGTGCCAACGCTTGCTATTGGCTAGGGCTGTACACAATTTGGTCTGGACCGTAACCAAACCAGTCCAAACCATATTTTAGCGGTTTGGTTTGGTTTACGATTTATAAAATTATGGTTTGGTTCCGATTTTTTTGTAAATATGGTTTATGGTTTGGTTTGGTTTTGCGAAAATTATAAACCAAACCAAACCACAAACCAATAAATCGTATTTTAATATTAATAATTTTTAAATAAAAAAATATTTATTATATATTAAAAAAAAGGCTAAATTAGAAAATAACACCTGTTAAAAGACCTAATTTTGTTTTTAACACCTTAAGATTTCGAAGTTTAATTATAACACCTGTTAAAAAATAAAAATTTTGCTTTCACCACCAGATAACAGAAACTGTGACGGAATTTTTTGGTGGGGCCCACATAGTCGTTTACCCTCCAAATTCCATCCCCTTCAATTCGAATTTATCTTCTCTGTCATTTATTACCACCCAACTAATTTTGCTTCATTGAATTTCGTCTGCAAATCTTGAACAACCAAAATTACTGCGAACATTCAAACCCTATACTGATTATTGTGATTGAGAAATTGAGTTGGAAGAGGAGGTGTCAATATTGGAGCGAAACAAGTCAGCGAGATTCCGTCAGCCATTTCCAACATCCAAAAAGCTTGGACTTTTTCGTGGATTCTGACAGCAATAGGAGTAAGATTCCAATACAGGTACCTTTCGAACCCTTTAAGGTAGTTTTCAACAAGTATTGTGTGCTGCATTATGCCATTTGTGTGGGTGTAGTAGGGTAATTTGGGAAAAAAAATTAGGAACCCTAAGAACAGTAAAATGGGTTAATTTGTAATTAAAGTTGAATTTGATTAAATTAAGTATGATTTAGTGTAATGTGTGAATTATTTAGTTTAAATCATTGATTTTATTGACTGTTGACTGGTTTGTCATTGTGTTGGTTTAAATATGTTTGATTTTGTTGATTAAAGTATTGCGGTTGACTGTGTAATGGGGTTAGCTATGTTGGGTTTTATTGATTTGCTTTGCATTTGTTTATTAGGTAGAAAAATGGCCGACAACGAAGATGGATTAATTGATATAGTATTTAGAGTAGGGGGTGCTTTTGTTACTAAACAAGTGTCAAAATCAAAGCATTTGCTTTGTTGGTGTGGTGGGTTATGTTATTGGAGGAGGGATGTGGTAGTGGATAAGATAGATTTGCATTATTTGAGGGTAGCTGTTGTGCATGGGTTTGTGAACTTTAATGTCCATGTCCCACCTAACTACAGACTTTGGTATAAAGAAAGAGGTAGGACCTTTAACACAGGGAGAAGGGAGTTAGTAAATGAAGAGGAAGTGAAGGGGCTGCTGGAGACAGTGAATGGGGAAGGGTATGTTGAAGTATTTGTGACTGCTAATGAAACATTAAGGCCCATACATGAGATCCAGGCCCAGTCCACTCCAGTAAAGGCTGAGAGAAAGGGGAAGAAAAGTTCAGGTAAGCCTGCTGTAGTTAGGAAGAGCCCAAGAATTAACAAAAATGAGCCTAAGGTGAGGGAGGGTGAAGAATCTCCTAAACCTAGATCTAGACAAGGGATAGAAAGGGTTGAAGGGGTTTCTGCTGAGATTAAGGGGGTTCCTGGTAAAGGGAAGTTGTTGAGTAAGGGGAAACAAAAGGGTAAAGCTAAGCTTGAAAGGGGTTCTGGCAGTGTGAAGGTGTTGGATAAGGGAAAGGGAAAAAAAAATCTGTAGGCAAAGGATTGATTTTTGAGGATAGTAGTGAGGGCAGTGAGACTGGGAGGGAAGATGATTTTTCTTCAAGTGATGGGAGTGAGATTGACATAACTTGGGAGCCTGGAGAGGAGGAGTATGACAGTGGGGATGAGAGGTGGTTTGTGCAGAATTCTGAAGAAATTTTAGCTAAGGTAACAAGAAGTCTTGGGAAGCAGTTTGATGTACATGATGAGGGGGTTTCCAAGGATCCAAAGGCAAGGTTGACAGATAACTTGGATGTGAATGAGGTACAACTACAAGAAGAAATTGAGGGAGAATCAGATGACCTAAGGAGCTTGGATGGTTCATCTAATGAAGAGGACAAAAGTCCATGGTTTAATGACAAATCTGACTTCTCAAAGCCTGTTGTACTTGTTCATAGGCTTAGGTTTAGCAATGCTACAGTGTTGAGGAAAGCTTTAAGAGTGCATGCCATACAGAATAGGTATGAGTACTATTTTTTACACAATGATAGTACTAGGATTACTATTCAGTGTAGGAATAGGTGTGGGTGCAAGTTTGACACAAAGACAAGTAGGATGCCTTTGTGTATATGCAGGGGTGGAGTGAAGTGTAGTTTCAAGATCCATGCTACTAAGTTAAAAAGACAACAGACTTGGCAAATAAAAACCATGAAGTTGGAGCATAAATGTGTGAGAAGCAGGGAGAACAAGAAGGTCACAGCAGAGTTCATTGCTGAGAGGTATCTTGAGGATTCCAGAACTAACCCATCATGGAAGGTTAAGCAAATCAAGGATAGGGTGCTTCATGACTTGGGGGTAGAAGTGACCTACTACAGGGCTTGGATGGCAAGATGTAGAGTTAAGTTGATCATTTTTGGTTCAACAAGAGAGCAATATGCTAGGGTATGGGATTATGGGAAGGCTGTAATGAAATACAACCCTGGGTCTGGTTGTAATGTTGTGATTGATGGCATTGAAAAGCCTGAGCCTCCCTTGTTTATGAGGATGTTTATTTGTTTAAGGCCTTTGAAGGATGGGTTCTTGAAGGGTTGTAGGCCAATTATAGGGGTGGATGGCTGCCACTTGAAAGGAGGTTATCCAGGCCAGATTTTAGTTGCAGTCTCCAAGGATGGGAACAACAGCATTTACCCCATTGCTTGGGCAACTTGTGAGGTTGAAAACAGGGAGACTTGGGTCTGGTTTCTGGAATCCTTGATGCAATGCATTGGAAGTGCAGATGGGGCAGGCTTCACCTTCATGTCAGACAGGCAGAAGGTAATATTGTTTTGATTATTGTAGTCTTATTTTCTGTCCTGTTCTTTATTGTTTGAAGTGTGACAAGTAATTGTTGATGATGTTAAACAGGGACTGGTTGAAGCTCTGTCTGAAGTTGTGCCTAATGCAGAGACTAGGTTCTGTGTTAGGCACATTTGGGCAAATTTCAAGTTGAAGTTCACTGGATCAGTTTTCAAAGAGCTCTTTTGGAGTGCTGCAAGAGCAACAACATTTGTAAGTTTCTAGGTGACCTTAAATTATTTTGAATAAGTAAATGCATGATATTGTTCCTGTTCATGTACCTACTTCATGTAATAATGTTCCTGTTGTGTATAAAAGCAAAACAAGAGCAACAACAGTTGTGTATGTTATTCTTTCATGATAATGTTCCTGTTGTGGTTGTAGGTTGAGTTTCAGATAGCCATGCAACAGATTAGGGAGCTTGATGAGGATGCTTACAATTATTTGGAGAACATCCCCACTCATCACTGGTGCAGACATGCATTCAGTGACAGTTGCAGGTCCAACATGTTACTAAACAACATGTTTGAGACTTTCAACTCTGTTATCAGAGATGCAAGAGACAAACCTATCCTCACCCAAATGGAATGGATGAGGAGGTACATGATGAGGAGAAATAATGAGAAGTGGGAGGACTCCAAGGAAATCACAACCAACATCACTCCATATGTGCATAAGCTATTTCAGAGGATGAGCTATGTGGCTAGGAATTGCATAATTGAAGCTGCCAGGGATGACACTTATGAAGTGCAGCTAAATGATGACCAGGTTCTAGTTGACTTGCCAAATTGGTCTTGTTCCTGCAATCACTGGAAATTAACAGGCATCCCATGTATTCATGCATTTGCATGCATAATGGATCAGAGGGTTGATGCTGAGCAGTTTGTCCACCCCTATTACACTATGGACACTTACAGAGCAGCATATGAGCCTGCAATTCAACCTATGCCAGGCCCAAAGCATTGGGAGAGAGTGAACATGAGAGAGCCTCATCCACCAGCATTCAAACAGCAGCCTGGAAGACCTAAACAGAAGAAGAGGAAGCTGGAACCTGGGGAGGGAACATCTGCAACAGGAGGGGAGCAGGGAAGAAAGAGGAGGAAAAGTCATTGTAGGATTTGTGGTGGATTTGGCCACTATCCCAAGACTTGCAAGGGCCCACATGAACCTGAACCAACTGAGTAGAGAACTGCAGGAAGGCCTTCTTTAAATTCATCTTGGGTAGTTGAGCAAAGGAAGAAGAGGGAGATCAAAGCTGCTAAGAAGGTATGCTGTTGGATTTGTAACTTATCTTTTAAAATTTGTGATGAAATTGGATGTTGATACTTGTTTATTGGTATTTGTGTTTAATAAACAGAGTGCAATAGGGGCTGGTCCAAACAGCATTGGGAATAGGACTTTTCCCCAAGAGCAACCTGGCTGTGAACCATTGAGTAAGAGGAAAGGTTCACACAGTCAACAAGGGCAGCCACAAGCCAAGCATCACACCACCCCCTCTTCCAGCCAACCTGAACCAAATGCTACTGGAGTGCAGACAAGGAGGGCTAAGCTGCTGACTTCCAGACAAGGAGGGCTGACACAATGATGTTTGAATTGTTTTTCTGAACTTTAGTTGTTGGTTGTATTTTCTGAACAATCAGTTGCAATATTTGCAGCTTTACTTTTGGGTATAGGACAAGGATCCTGTTTTGTTAAATTAATAATTTGCTTTAAGGCTTTACCAGCCAATTTTGTTAGGCACTGCAACAACAAATTTGATCAACAACTTAAATGCAATATCAACTACTTAGGTACTTACTTAATTCTTTGCTTTCATAATTGTGTACATTAGTTTTCTTGCAATAGTGGTTCACTGCCACTTATAAATCATTACATTACCATATTACTGTTTCATGCAATTACTAGCATTACAAGTTATACTTAATGCATTACAAACCCCCTAATAAGAAGGATCACTAATATGACCAAACTAATCCCAACAGCAAGACTAAGAACAGAGTGATCTGATCTAGCATTCCTTCCATGCATCTCTTTGTTCATCTTGTTCCTGTCAGAGTTTAAAGCCTTGCATTTCATTTTCAGCCTGTCCACTTCATTCAGCAAACACCTCAACTGTCCACCAAGATCATCAACTTCCCTCTTGTAATCACTAATTTCCCCCTTCAACAGTTTCTTATCTAGCAACAAATTGTTGATCACCTCTGTTTGCCAGGCTGTCCCATCTTGTTCATCCACCCATTCAAATGCTTTACAACCTCTGCTCTCAGTTACAGGATCGTAGAACTTGCATGTTCTGAACTTACGACCAGGGTTCTCCCTTGTCCAACTGGTAAGCTTTGCAAAGGGAACACCACATTTGCACTTCTTCTCCTTTGAAGGTGAGAAACTTGTAGAAGACATTTCCTGCACCAATTTGCCATCCATAATAAGCAAAACCATTCGTACTATGAAAAAAATACAATTGAACCAAGGGAATTAAACAGTCACTCCTACAAATCAAAACCCCCAAATTATTTCTACAATGAACCCTAATTTCATTTTCTCGCAAATTACAGCACAATTAACACACAATGAACCCTAACTATTTACGAATTACATGACTATTGCCAGATACGACCTGAATTATGCATTTAAGTCAACAACATATAGATTAATTTACGCCTTATTTTTGAAAGATAAATTAGGGTTTCTAAAGTACTATTGACGCAATTACCTGATTTGATATCTACGTCCCCCAAACAATGATGGTAAAATCAAACAATTTCGCCAATTTGTTAGTCAGAATTCGCAAAATGTGAAGCAATTTTGTGTAATCAGCTCAACAATTCTACATTAGTGAAGGATGTCGTAACTATATAAAGCAGTTTGGAAAAAATAGCCGTTATTGTGGGCCCAGCTAACAGATCCTCTAACGTTGTTCCAATTTAGGTGGTGAAAGCAAAATTTTTATTTTTTAACAGGTGTTATAATTAAACTTCAAAATCTTAAGGTGTTAAAAAAAAAATTAGGTCTTTTAACAGGTGTTTTTTTCTAATTTAGCCTAAAAAAATTAAAGATTTAATAAAAAAAATTTAAAAAAAAACTATACGGTCAATACTCTATTATTAATGACTACTTGTATAATGTAGTACTCTATATGAAATTTTTTTTGACAAATGCATATGAAAATATGATTGTTATATATTATTTTTATTTTATGTTAGCACTTGATTATTTGATTGTTATTTTTTTTTATCTTTGTAGTACAATTTAATCCGTTTGGGCTAATTATTTAAACTTTATTATAAATTAATAAAGTATTATTTGATAATTTTTAAGAAAAAATGTCATCTCATCATAAACCGCAAACCAAACCGCACCTAACCGTATTATTACGATTTGGTTTGGTTTGGTTTCAATACTAATATGGTTTGGTTTGGTTTGAAAAATTTTACCAAACCGTATTTTGCGGTTTGGTTTGGTTTGGACTCAAACCGCACCAAGCCAAACCATGTTCACCCCTACTATTGGCGCCAAACGCCAACATTAGCGTCAGGTGCCAATGCTAGCGCCAGGCGCTACAGCTGGCGTTTGGCGCTGATTCAGAAATTCACGCGTTTTCTTAAAATTAGATAAAAATTGTCGTACAGAAGGATAAAATCGTATTTTTCCTAAAAAATGCTCTTTGATTCTAATTAAAACTCTGAAAAGTCAACAAAAGTCAATTTATCAATGCTAATTGAATTAGGAATGAAAAGAACCTTCTGGAAGAATCTAGAAGACTAAAACCATTCCTAATTGCATTAGGAATGATAAATCTATATTAGGCCCTCCCCCAGATTATTGGACCGCATATAAGGCTCAAACCGGGCCCAGTTCAGTAAATTGGCCATAACATCCTCATTATTCATCGGAATTGAGCTTATAATTTATCGTTGGAAAGCTCTTGTCAAGTTCCATCCAACTACACTACTATTGGACCCATATCATGGACCAAGCAAACTGAGTCGGATCTTTTCTTAAAATAAGTTTTCAAAAACAAAGAGAAGAGAAAAGAAATTAAAACTATCCGCAACACTAAACTTTCCACACTTTTGCTTCATTCGATTATGATTCGACGTGAAAGGTACTCATCACTGGGTTTGGTTTTGGGGAGACACAAATGGGTGTCTACAGAAGCCCCCACTTTGACTGAGTTTGGAGAAACACAAGTTTCGAAAACAAAAGTCAAAGTATCGATAGGGACGGAGAATGATTCAGAACGTTCTGCGATTCTAAGTCACTCTTGCAACGCCGATACCTGCAAAACTAGCGTTAGTTAAACAGATAAAAGAGTTAAGAAACGCGTATCTTGCACCGTCGAGCACACGTCTCTGAAAGTAACCGATTTATCGTCGGTTCCTTGTTTTGATGACCTCCTGCCAAGAGAATGCCATCCCGCTTGAAAACCGCTACGCTTGTAACTGCTTCCAATATGGAAGATTTCTTCGCTTGAAAACGATCCTCCTCCGCTTTGATAATATTCCACGTCCAAGGGAATACTATCGAAGATTGCTTCACTTGAAACAATCCTCTTCCGCTGTGTGACCATCTTCCACGTCTAAGGGATCATGATCGAAGACAACTTCGCTTGAAATCACCTTCAGTTGTTTGTGACAACTCTCCACAATCTAGGGAATGCCATCTTGCTGTTTCGTTGTTCACTCGTCTCTGAACAAAGAGCTTCTTTTTTTTGGATATGTTCACGCGCTTCAGAACAAAGAGCTTGATGATATGTCCACGCGTCTCTGAACAAAGAGCTTCGAATGATATACCCACGCATCTATGGACGAAGAGCTTCAATGATATGTCCATGCGTCTCTGAACACTAGAGCTTTTGATTGATATGCCCACGCGTCTCTAGAGCAATAGAGCTTGGATAATATGTCCACGCAACTCTGAACAATAGAGCTTGAAAAATATGCCCACGCGTCTCTGAACAAAGAGCTTGATAATAGGATGCCCACACGTCTCTGAGCAAAAGAGCTTTCAAAATAGGATGTCCACGCGTCTCTGAGCAAAAGAGTTTGAAAATATGTCCACGCGTCTCTGAACAAAAGAGCTTCAATACTTGAATGTTTGTTGGGATAATATTCTGGAAGAAAAATTTCCGAAGACCAACGCTTGCCGATCTTTAAAGCTCGCTTGAACTTTGCTTCCGCTAAAACTAGTATGTCGATGTCACCGTGATGAGCCAACGCTTATGCGCTTTAAGCTAAGTGAGACGATCTTTTGTCAGGTCGATCACTTATTGCGACTGTAATCAAACCTACTACTTAATCATGTCAAATTGCTTATAGGGGCTAACTGGCGTACCAAGGAACCCGAAATTGCCGTATGAGATCGAAATCACCTTTCTGAGAGGCTTCGAGCTCTTTCGCTGCTGAAATATCTCTGGCGCCAAGAATCGACTCTGTCCCTAGACACTGGGATCTAGCGCCAGGCGCTAAAAGCTATTGCCAGACGCTAGATGTTTTCGTCTGGCGCTGGAGTAAGGTCTTCCCTATTCTGTTGCACCTGTTTTTATTTTTGACTATAGAACTTTGCTAATCTCTTTAATTATCTTAGGGTTGACCTAAGGTTTAATGTCGCTTGACTCATTGACTTGACACGGCTCAAGGTATAAACTTGACTCGCTGTGATTGACTGACTCGAGGTTGACTCGACTCGAAGTGTTTTTGACACATGTGTTAGACTCAAATCAAAGTGACATGACACGACATGACTCAATGTGTACATGTCTCGTGTGTGCATTGTAATGTGATCGTGCGACTCGAAAATGCAAAAAAGCAAAATTTTCCGTCATTTTTGTGGAGGGTACCGACTTTCTCCCGAAAAAGAAAGACGCGAAAAAAGAATCAAAGTGTTTGAAGGTGCAGTTGAATGAGCTTAGTCAAATGTTGTTTGATACAATCTCTCAAGGTGCAAGGATTAACCCATCCTAGGCTATCTCAATGGTTGACTCAATGATGAAAGCATTTGGATAACTTAGGCACGGAGGCTAAGCCTTTCATACTTCGTGATGCAATAACAATTATGATTGATTAGTGATGTTGATATGACAAGGCATACTTCAGCGTTGTGTTAAGATTTCATGATAAAGGGTTCCAAAGGAAAGTATATTTGGTCATGTATCTGTGATGTGTGTGATAGTGACACTAAAGTTAGGCCGGAAGGGCTAAGTGTGTGGGAAAATATATTGAAAAGAGTCAAATGGTGGTGACTCTTAGGCTAGGTAAGATAATGATGTAGGGATCAAGCCCCCAAGTCTAGCTCTACATGGATAGGGATAAGCATTGGAGATCCTTTGATATGATGAATTATGAACATAAATATAAATGCATTTTTATTACGGTTGCACCTCGATGTGAGGTTGCCTACGTATCCGGTAGGAATCAGGCCAAACGTAGCTCTAGCCGAACCTCGCACAAGTATGTGTATACCTCAAAAAGGTCGTTTTAAGGGTTGTAACGTGGTTAGGCTAAAGGTTGAAGAAGAAGGGGATAAAAGCTCAAGACCCTAGATAAGCCCCCAAGGTGTGCAACTTTGCTTTTAGATCTTTATATTTTTATGCTTGAGTTTCTATTCTTTTTTAGCTCTCTTTTTTTGCTTTTGCTTTAGCATTTATTTTTATTAGTGTGGGCAATCCCGATCATGCGGTATATCACTCACTTGGTATTCATGTTTCTCAGGCACGGTACCGAGCACTCGATAAGAGACGCAATCTGAGACGTGTTCTTATCGAAGATACTTTCGTATCAAAGACATTGGAACACTTGCCCTT